ATATTATATCTTGGATACCCTACTAATAATGTCCATCAAATAACAAAAATGTGATATTTAGCTACTAGAGCGGAAGCAAAAATAATCCTGAGGATCATTTTGTCCGAAACACAGGGACATCAATTATATGCTGAGATGTTTCTGCTTTGGCCACTCATTCTTCAGGACTGAATTTCGCAACTTTACAGAAGATCACTACAAAAAAGAGATGTGAGGAGAAGATTAATAAAGAATTATGTTGTCTTCAGGTACATTAGAAGTTCTAAGAGAAGAATGAAAAACACCTACATTACTGCCACTTACACTGTCTTTTATGTTGTCATATGCCAGGATCATATTTGCATGGTTATGTCAAGGTTTTGCTTTTTAACATTGGCCTCAAATAAGATGTGATGGAAAACTTGGCTTTGGAGAATACCTCATCTATTCCTTGAGATTCAATCTGCAAGAAGTTAGTAATCGTTCAGTTTGGACTTTAGCATGAAAAGTTTTGCTTCAGCAAAATGTGACCATCTTCCTTCATTGTGGAGGGAAGATTACATTGGGAAGTGCAATTAGAGCAGAGATTACACTGGAAAGTGAAACCAGAGCGGAGAATGACTCAGTATAACCACTCAGCAGAGCTCTCCCTCCAGAGCACCGCAAATAAGTCATTAAATTTCACTGAAACACCACTGGCTTTGGATGAAAGGACACTACTAGGGCTGAAGATTTCACTGTCAGTCCTTCTGTCTGTTATAACTTTGGCAACAGTCCTTGCAAACGCTTTTGTCATTATTACAATTTTTGTGACTAGAAAGCTCCACACACCTGCAAATTACCTCATTGGTTCCTTGGCAGTGACGGATCTTCTAGTGTCCGTGCTGGTGATGCCCATCAGTATTGCTTACACTGTCACCCACACGTGGGCCTTCGGCCAAGTGTTGTGCGATATCTGGTTGTCCTCAGACGTCACGTGCTGCACAGCCTCCATCTTACACCTCTGCGTTATTGCGCTGGACAGATACTGGGCCATCACAGATGCTTTGGAATACGCCAAACGCCGGACTGCTGGCCGAGCAGCACTCATGATTGCGGTGGTCTGGATGATCTCTATCAGTATTTCTGTGCCACCACTTTTCTGGAGGCCAGGGAAAGCTCATGGAGAAATTGATAAGTGTACTATTAACACGGATCAGATTCCCTATACAATTTACTCAACCTGTGGAGCCTTCTACATCCCAACTGTGCTGCTTGTAATATTGTATGGAAGAATTTATGTAGCAGCTCGATCTAGGATTCTGAAGCCACCTTCATTATATGGGAAGCGATTTACTACCGCACACCTGATTACTGGCTCTACTGGGTCTTCTCTCTGCTCCATCAGCTCTAGCCTGCATGAAGGGCACTCAGGTGGATCTCCATTATTCATCAACCATGTTAAAATAAAACTTGCAGATAGTGTCCTAGAAAGGAAAAGAATTTCTGCTGCAAGAGAAAGAAAGGCCACCAAAACTCTTGGCATTATCCTGGGAGCTTTCATTATCTGCTGGCTGCCATTTTTTGTCATGTCCTTAGTCCTGCCAATCTGCCAGGACGCTTGCTGGTTTCATCCCATCCTCCTGGACTTTTTTACATGGTTAGGTTACCTAAACTCACTGATCAATCCAGTCATTTACACGGCTTTTAATGAAGAATTTAAACAGGCTTTCCAAAAACTAATACATTTCAAAAAGTGCTCATCTTGATCCTCTCCTACTGCTGCTGATTTCAATACAATCTCACAGCCTACTTGAAGACTTTCTTGAAGACTATTCCTGAAGTAAGGAGTGGAAACTACCATCTCTTCTGCTGCCTGTATTGTGCATGTAACTGGGAACTCATTGCCAATTTGATACTTTCTCTCTGGAATTCTGTATCCCATAGTAGAATTTGTTAATGGTCTCTGCAGTGACCCTTTGTGTATCTGAGATCAAAACACGAAGTGAGCTTTGTAACAAGTGAGAGAAACAGAAAACTGAGTTTGTATGATGAGATATTGCCCAATTCTGCCATGCCTTTGTAACCTGAAGAAGAATGTGTGCATATCTGCAGCACTTCAGTATTTCTGGTGTATATTAGCAAATTATGTAGGAAGAGAACATTTCTGTATAATGGGATCTGATGCCTATATTTTCTATGGCATGTATCCTATCCATTTGAAATTGGTAAAGCCGTGAACTTTTTCAGAAATTGTGTAACACAATTGGACGATAAGCAACAGGGGATAGACATAACAAATATCTAAGTTTGGTGGGACCTTCATGATTGTGCATTTTGCATTTACTGCTACACTTCTGGTGAACTCCAGAAAGTTCAGCAATTTGAAATTATTTTACACATCTTATCATGAATAGAATAGCCAAAATAAATAGCATGAAAAATATTGAAAATTATCTTGATCTTATATTTCTGTTATTTATTTTTTGCATGCACAATCTGAAACAGACAATTTAGTGTCTGTGTGGAGCGACAGGGACCTTGGAATGGAGACTGAAGAAGCTCAGGTTCCTTTTTTGGTTCTGGTAGGAAACCAGAATAGGAAAAATTTCTTTCAATAGGAAAAAAAAGGCCATAGAAAAGTTAAGTTTGCATTTCTGTAGGACCAAGATTCTGTTACACACATAACCTGTATAAAGACAATATATCCCACATCTATTATATTTATTTAACATGCATACTTTTATATATATCATTTTTATATCCATATTGTGTATAGCCTGCGGCTCCAGACTCTCTTCCAGGCTGCTGTTCTGGCATCCAGGATAGTTGCTGACTATGGCACAGCTCTCCTGGTGCTGGATTGGAGCTGAGTCACGCAGGAATCTCCAAGGGTTGACATGACCATCACTGCTAAAATAATGGGATATAACGTCTCCTATGGGCTCTGCTGCCGGGGATCTACAGGACTACATGAATCTGAAGAGATACCTCTCCGGCATCCTGCAGGGCCTTGTCACCCAAAGGATCATTTGCAGAGACTAGAGGAAGATCTCCTAGCTCAGTACAGGACACTGCATAGTCCAGAACTTCGGCATCTTCTAAAGGAGACAGACAAGCATCCAGTTCCACCCCAGAGGACACAGTCCATGGTATTTTAGAATAAGCCTTGTCATCATGGGCCTGCCTGGTGCAGGCCTCCCTGAGCAGCAGACATCACATGAGGGTTTCAGAGGGTTTCGTGGAGCTCATGTAGAGCAGTGGCCTCCTACATCATCTGAGTACATTCATCACGGGCCTGGGTAGTGCAGGCCTCCCTGGGCAGCAGATGTCACATGAGGCTTTCAGTCATGGAGCTCATGTAGAACAGTGGCCTCCTACATCATCTGAGTACAAAAGAGCAGACATTCAAAGCCAGACTTCACACCACTGGGCTCACATCACTGGAGCTCTTCGCATCCTCTGCAAGCTGTAGGCATTTGAAGGAGCCTTTGCAACTGTTCCAAGGCTTGACTGGCCTCATGATGAAAAAGATTTTTCTTAAATCCAATTGGCACCTCTCTTGTTTCAACTTGTGCCTGTTGTGTCTTCTCTTCCTATGCCGTAAGTGCAAAACTGTGAAGACCCTGGGTACTGAGGTGGTGACTACTGTTAGGTTCCCCCAAAGCCTTTTCTTTTCCAGGGTGAGCAAGCTTGGTTTCTTCAGCTTGGCCCTCTACCCTCCGTCAGAAAGCGCTCGTCTCCTGACCATTTTAGCGGCATTTCACTGACATCACTCCAATTTATTGATGTCTTTCTTGTGCTAAGAGGCCCCAACTAGGCTCAGTGTTCTGCACGTGGTGTAACAAATCCTGAGTAGAGCAGGATAGTCACTTCCCTTGATCGCCTGGCTGTGCTTCTGCTAATGTAGCCCAGGATGCTCTCAACACACTGCTAGCTCACCCCAAACCCCATCCCACAGAGCTACGACTCAGCCAGTCAATACCCAGTCTGAATCACTGCAATGGATTCTTCCTTCCCAGTTGCAGGATTTTGCATTTGTCCTTTGCTGCATTTCATGAAGTTTCTGCCATCCAACTCCTTCAGCCTAATTCTCTCTGAATGGTGGCCCTGCCCTGGAGTGTATGAACTGGTCCCCAAAGTTTAGTGTCATCTGAAATCTTGAGAGGACAACAGCCTTTCACCACCCCCAGGTCATTGATAAAGACGTTAAACAGGACAAGCGCCAGGATATCCCCCCCCCAAGCACTCTGCTTGCTATCACTGTCCAGCCATCCAGACCATAATGTCCCCCAGGATATCCCCCCCAAGCACTCTGCTTGCTGTCCAGCCATCCAGACCATAATGTCCCAAACTGGGCAATGCCAAGATCTTGTGGAAGGTAATGTCAAAAGCCTGGCTAAAGTCAAGGTAAATGGCATGCATTTCTTCTCCCTCATCCACAAATCCAGTCATTTGTCACAGAACGCAATCTACTGTCTGCCATGATCTACCCTTGATCAACACATGCTGCCTGTTCACCTTCTCCTTCCCTGTCCTGCCTCCCAAGGGCAGTGCAAGCCAAGGCTACCACTTTGCCGTGTTTCTGCAAACCGTGTTGCAGGACTGATTAGAGAAAATCTCTGGGCCTGGTGTCCAGGTAGCCATTTCCACAACTCCAGAAACCTGAAAACAGTCAGTGACCTCTGCAGCAGCCTATAGCTTAGACCACAGAGCACAGGGAGAGAGGTCTCAAGGCACAAGAGGACGAGGGGAGCTTGGTCTGTCTCTGCCAGGCAAGGAGCATCCATCCAGTTTGCTCTCTCTGCATCAACTAAACTTTTGGCCTTCCTGTCTTGACTGTTCTTTAAAACTTCCAGTGATAAACGGAGTGACAAAATATCATAGCATTGAAAATGACCAACTGCTTATTTTTAGTCTTTGGTCTTCCTGGGGCATTTAATGAGACACTGTTTAATTCAAGAGCAAAAAACTGGCTCCTTTGTTTGATTAGGTCGTAGGCTAATTCAGAAAGGCACACGCATCATTCTTATTGTTGGTAAATATTTGATAGAGTGCTTCAGGAAATCATATTTGAAAAACTGCCACAGGAACCACTAGCTAAAAATCATAAATGAAAGATAAATAACATCCTATGGCTTTTGAGTTGAAAGGAGGAGGTTGTCATGTCACAGAGATCAATGTCCGTATTTACCATGTCATTAATGGTCCATGGAGTCAGGAGTACACGAAAGCATTTCAGAGAAGGTACATGAAGGCTGCATGATTTCTAAGTGCCTCAGGTTTTTCTTTTTTTTTTTTTGTACTTTTATAATTCGTAAAAATTTTGTATTGAGGTACATATTGTGATTGTCCCAGCAGATACAATTATGTGTGTAACAGCGTAGAATTAAAAACAGAATTAGCTAAATAAAAGTCAAAGCGTGCATGTTCATAGCAGCATACTGCAATAAAATTTCAGTGAAGCATATTCCTACAAATGGGCAAGAGTGTCAGCCAGGAGGAATTGCCAGAGCTGAAGGTAGGCAAAACAATCTTATCAGTCTTCCCAGGATAAATCTAAGGGAAATCTCGCACTGTGAAGGGAAGATGGCCATGCAAAGCATGTGTGTTGCAGTCATACTGCTATGCTAAATCATCAGCAGATAGTTCCTTGTGCGTGTGGGCAGGAAGGAACAAATGTTATGAACAGCAGTAGCGTAAGTCACACTCCCTTTGCAGTACACCCTGAGTGCTCTTGAAGGAGTGTCCGGAATGTGGCAGTAGCTACAGTCCCCAGGCAGTCTCCCTTGTGACCCTCCAGTTGCAGATGCTCAGTAGCTCCTGTCACTGAGAGGTGAGGAATTCCCAACGGCTTCGGCAAAATTCGTTTAACTTTTCTGTTTTAATCTAGCCAAGATCCTTCTGTTGCAAATGTCAGTGACAAGACATATCTTCATACAATTGTCAGTAATTGCAATTTTGCATTTAGACTTCATTGCTGTTGAAACAGAAGGAAGAAATGTAGGTCAGTAGCTAATGAAGTTAAAAGCCTTCTCAGACAGGTTTTCTCTAAGCTGCCTTTTCACAGACACACCATGTCCAGCTTCTGGTGGCAGGAGTCATGTTTTTCACACTATCTCTGTTGCCACAATTGCCACTGAGAGGAAGCCCCTTCTCCCCAGCTTGTTGGTGTCCTTCTGAGAAGCAGTCCTGCCCTACAGCACAGCAGTGGCTCTCCCCAAAGTGCTACTGTCTACAAACTTGCTGAGAGTGCACAGCATCTCCTTGTCCAGGACATTAAAAAGACATTAAACAGTTACCCTCCTCAATGTGCATCTATGAAGGATGCCCCCAGTAGCCGGACACCAGCTGGACTTTGTGTTGTTGGGCACAAATCTTTGAGCCCAAAGTTCCAGAAATGTTTCCACCCACTTCCACCCTACTTGGTCCTGCACCCACGTGGACCATATCTCACCAATCTGACCACAAGGAGCCTGTGGGAGACCATGTTAGAGTCTTGCTAAAATCAATGGTAAAATGAATCAGAACATGCCCAGGGCCCTTCCCTTGTCCATACAACGAGGTGCCTCATTGTAGAAAGTGATCAGGTTGGTAAGGCATATTGTGCCCTCAGTAAACCCTTCCTGGCTGCTTCCACTCACTTTCTTGTCCTTTATGTACTTAGAAATTGCTTCCAGAATATGCTGAACAATCTTCCCAAGCATAGAGGTGAGGCTGACCAGTCCAGAGATGTACAGGTCCTCTCCTTTCCATTCTGGATAATGGGTATGACATTTGCCTTTTTTTTTTTTAAATCACTAGGAA